ATGTATGTGTGTGTGTACTCACCTAGTTGTACTCACCTAGTTGAGGTTGCGGGGTCGAGTCCGAGCTCCTGGCCCGCCTCTTCACTGATCGCTACTAGGTCACTCTCCCTGAGCCGTGAGCTTTATCATACCTCTGCTTAAAGCTATGTATGGATCCTGCCTCCACTACATCGCTTCCCAAACTATTCCACTTCCTGACTACTCTGTGACTGAAGAAATACTTCCTAACATCCCTGTGATTCATCTGTGTCTTCAACTTCCAACTGTGGAAGTTGTGTGTGTGTGTGTGTGTGTGTATGTTGTAATGTAGTTGTGTGTGTGTGTGTGTGTGTGTGTGTGTGTGTGTGTGTGTGTGTGTGTGTGTGTGTGTGTGTGTGTGTGTTGTATGTATGTGTGTGTGTGTGTGTATGTATGTGTGTGTATATTGGCATGAACATGTATACATTTCATCAATAATTCAAAACAGATCATGAATATCTTTCAGCTCAGAAGCAGAACTGAAAGTGAGAGTACAACAGGAATGCTAAGCTTCTACGCTGTGTGAGCAATACTGCAGCTCTTGAGTCTGGTACTGTCGATGATCTTGGAGGCCAGTTCGTTAAGAAAGCTTGTTGCACACTTGCTCTTGGGTCAAAGGGTTTCCGATCCTAGTAGAACAAAGTGGTACAGATAACCCAAGATCCCATATTCGTCGAATTTAGATCCTTCCCTGTGATCAGAAACACCTTGTGTTGAACAACACTACAGCGGATGTAGGTGACAGCCAGGGTAGATACCCGGGTATAGTCTCGCAGCAGTAGTCTCACTTGGGTGGTTAACAGGATTACTGGAAATATGAGATACTAGGGATAATTTTCCTTGATACAAGTTCTCAGCTGCAGAACCATTGTTTTCGTGATTTCTTTGTCTAGCTAACAGCATTAATATGCATAGTTAAAAGAATAGGTAACAGCAGTGTTAAACCAAGCTAACGAAAGTACTAAGCCTCGTTAATAGCAGTACTAAGCATAGCTAATAGTAGTGCCAAGTCTAGCTAACAGTAGTACCATGTCTAGCTAACAGCAGCAGTACGAAGCCTAGTTGATACCAAGCTGGACTGGCCTCTCGGGGATACCAAAATGCCTTCTTGATCTTCAGGTTCTCGGTAACTGCAAGATGATACCACCTTCATTGCTTCCAATCACCTCGGTGACTCCATAGTACCCTCTCCCTATCCAGATATTTCAGGGAGAGAGAGGTACTGTTCCATCTTTAGATACCTCGATGATCGCTAGATGCCTTTCCTCTCTCTCCCCAGTACCTAGCTGATTGCGTGGATACTTCCCCTTCTCCAGGTACTCCGATGATTGCAAAGTACTCTCCTATGCTTCAAGTATATTGGGAATCGTGAGGTACCCTGTCCCTCTCCAGGTTCTTAGGTGATTACAACCGCCCAGGGAGGTTCTACTGTCCTGTGGTAGTAGGTTGGTAGACAGCAACCACCCAGGGAGGTACTATCGTCCTGTGGTAGTAGGTTGGTAGACAACAGCCTCCCAGGGAGGTACTACCGTCCTGTGGTAGTAGGTTGGTAGACAGCAACCGCCCAGGGAGGTACTACCGTCCTGTGGTAGTAGGTTGGTAGACAACAGCCTCCCAGGGAGGTACTACCGTCCTGTGGTAGTAGGTTGGTAGACAGCAACCGCCCAGGGAGGTACTACCGTCTGTGGTAGTAGGTTGGTAGACAACAGCCTCCCAGGGAGGTACTACCGTCCTGTGGTAGTAGGTTGGTAGACAGCAACCGCCCAGGGAGGTACTACCGTCCTGTGGTAGTAGGTTGGTAGACAGCAACCGCCCAGGGAGGTACTACCATCCTGCCAAGTGAGTGTAAAACAAAAGCCTTTAATTGTTTTACATGATGGTAGGATTGCTGGTGTCTTTTTCTGTCTCATACACATGCAAAATTTCAGGTACGTCTTGTTACTTCTACTTACACTTAGGTCACACTACACATACATGTACAAGCTTATATATACACACACCTCTGGGTTTTCTTCTATTTTCTTACTAGTTCTTGTTCTTGTTTATTTCCTCTTACCTCCATTAGGAAGTGGAACAGAATTCTTCTTCCGTAAGCCATGCGTGTTGTAAGAGGCTATTAAAATGCCAGGAGCAAGGGGCTAGTAACCCCTTCTTCTGATACATTACTAAAGTTAAAAAGACACACTTTCGTTTTTCTTTTTGGGCCACCCTGCCTCGGTGGGATACGGCCAGTGCGTTGAAAGAAGATCTATATCATCCACGCTATTTTTACCCTGAGCGCTAGCTATAACATGTGCAGCTCTAGGGAAGTGGCAGGCCCAATGGGACATACAAACGAGTAACAGGCTATTACGGGTTTAGCAGAACGTGGGTGTTTGGCGCTCCTCTTGACACAAGACTCGTTACTGTGAGACACTTCTCTATAACTAAAGAATGAATGTCATATACACCTCACTAGTGGCCACCAGCTTCTGGGTGATCATGCCCCTCTTGTGTGCCCCGCCTGTGTACCCCTCTTGTGTGCCCCTATTGTGTGCCCCTCTTGTGTACCCCTCTTGTGTGTCCCTCTTGTGTGTCGCTCTTGTGTGTCCCTCTTGTGTGTCCCTCTTGTGTGTCCCTCTTGTGTGCTCCTCTTGTGTGCCCCTCTTGTGTGCTCCTCTTGTGTGCCCCTCTTGTGTGTCACTCTTGTGTGCCCCTCTTGTGTGCTCCTCTTGTGTGCCCCTCTTGTGTACCCCTATTGTGTGTCCCTATTGTGTGTCTCTCTTGTGTGTCCCTCTTGTGTGTCCCTCTTGTGTGCCCCTCTTGTGTACCCCTATTGTGTGTCCCTCTTGTGTGTCCCTCTTGTGTGTCCCTCTTGCGTGCTCCTCTTTTGTGCCCCTATTGTGTGTCCCTCTTGTGTGTCCCTCTTGTGTGTCCCTCTTGTGTGTCCCTCTTGTGTGTTCCTCTTGTGTGCCCTTCTTGTGTACCCCTATTGTGTGTCCCACTTGTGTGTCCCTCTTGTGTGTCCCTCTTGCGTGCTCCTCTTGTGTGCCCCTATTGTATGTCCCTCTTGTGTGTCCCTCTTGTGTGTCCCTCTTGTGTGCTCCTCTTGTGTGCCCCTCTTGTGTACCCCTATTGTGTGTCCCTCTTGTGTGTCCCTCTTGTGTGTCCCTCTTGTGTGTCCCTCTTGTGTGCCCCTCTTGTGTACCCCTATTGTGTGTCCCTCTTGTGTGTCCCTCTTGTGTGTCCCTCTTGTGTGCTCCTCTTGTGTGCCCCTCTTGTGCACCCCTGTTGTGTGTCCCTCTTGTGTGTCCCTCTTGTGTGTCCCTCGTATGTGTCACTCTTGTGTGCCCCTCTTGTGTGCTCCTCTTGTGTGCCCCTCTTGTGTACCCCTATTGTGTGTCCCTATTGTGTGTCTCTCTTGTGTGTCCCTCTTGTGTGTCCCTCTTGTGTGCCCCTCTTGTGTACCCCTATTGTGTGTCCCTATTGTGTGTCTCTCTTGTGTGTCCCTCTTGTGTGTCCCTCTTGTGTGCCCTCTTGTGTACCCCTATTGTGTGTCCCTATTGTGTGTCCCTCTTGTGTGTCCCTCTTGTGTGTCCCTCTTGTGTGCCCCTCTTGTGTACCCCTATTGTGTGTCCCTCTTGTGTGTCCCTCTTGTGTGTCCCTCTTGCGTGCTCCTCTTTTGTGCCCCTATTGTGTGTCCCTCTTGTGTGTCCTCTTGTGTGTCCCTCTTGTGTGTCCTCTTGTGTGTTCCTCTTGTGTGCCCTTCTTGTGTACCCCTATTGTGTGTCCCTCTTGTGTGTCCCTCTTGTGTGTCCCTCTTGCGTGCTCCTCTTGTGTGCCCCTATTGTATGTCCCTCTTGTGTGTCCCTCTTGTGTGTCCCTCTTGTGTGCTCCTCTTGTGTGCCCCTCTTGTGTACCCCTATTGTGTGTCCCTCTTGTGTGTCCCTCTTGTGTGTCCCTCTTGTGTGTCCCTCTTGTGTGCTCCTCTTGTGTGCCCCTCTTGTGCACCCCTGTTGTGTGTCCCTCTTGTGTGTCCCTCTTGTGTGTCCCTCGTATGTGTCCCTCTTGTGTGCCTCTCTTGTGTGTCCCTCTTGTGTGCCCCTCTTGTGTGCCCCTATTGTGTGCCCCTCTTGTGTGCCCCTATTGTGTGCCTCTCTTGTGTGCCCCTATTGTGTGCCTCTCTTGTGTGCTCCTCTTTTGTGCCCCTATTGTGTGCCCCTCTTGTGTGCCTCTATTGTGTGCCCCTCTTGTGTGCCCCTATTGTGTGTCCCTCTTGTGTGCCTCTATTGTGTGCCCCTCTTGTGTGCCTCTATTGTGTGCCCCTCTTGTGTGCCCCTATTGTGTGCCCCTCTTGTGTGCCTCTATTGTGTGCCCCTCTTGTGTGCCCCTATTGTGTGCCCCTCTTGTGTGCCCCTATTGTGTGCCCCTATTGTGTGCCCCTATTGTGTGCCCCTCTTGTGTGCCTCTCTTGTGTGCCCCTTTTGATTCTTATTATCAAGGTCCCTGAAGGGAAATTTTAGGTGATTTGTTTAGTATTATCCAATGTGAGTTTTTAAATGATGGAATTTGAAAGAATTATTTTAGTATCCGTGTGAATATTTTATACAAGCGAGTTAACTCGTGTGGTATGTGTGTGCCCTCTCTAGTAGCATAAGGTGCCACAATTAATACCATGTGTGTACCCTCTCTAGTAGCATAAGGTGCCACAATTAATACCATGTGTGTGTCCTCTCTAGTGCATAAGGTGCCACAATTAATACCATGTGTGTGCCCTCTCTAGTAGCATAAGGTGCCACAATTAATACCATGTGTGTGTCCTCTCTAGTAGCATAAGGTGCCACAATTAATACCATGTGTGTGCCCTCTCTAGTAGCATAAGGTGCCACAATTAATACCATGTGTGTGTCCTCTCGAGTAGCGTAAGGTGCCACAATTAATACCATGTGTGTGTCCTCTCTAGTAGCATAAGGTACCACAGTTAATACCAGAGTGTTCAACAGGTGTGGTTCAGCAACAGACGTGCCCGCTGGCGGAAACAAATGACAGGGCAGGGTATGGGAGTAACTGCACTCAACGCCCTGGCTATGAGTACCAACTATCCCGGCACTCTACCCCCAACCCTCCACCCTGCTACCAGTGCCCAGGCACCCATTGCGTCTGCTGGTGTTGCAACACCCACCAACACCATGAGTGCACCACACCACCACTACCCCACCCACGACCACACCAGCGTCCACCAGACTCACGGTAAGCTCACTCTATACTTCATATCACATCATCATGTCTCCAGTACTTATCCATCTCTAAGTAAAGTCGCTTGTTGCTTCTGTAAGACTTGGGTTCAAATATTTACTGCTTTCCTAGCTTTTTGTGATTCTTTTTTTCACTAAAATTTATTTTTGCTTGCGAATATTGGGTTAAAAATTTATAAATTCTTTGAAATATATACGAAATATTTTCTTGTATATAACTCTGAAATATCTTTCAGTCCACGTTTTCTTCACAATCTTTCAGAAGCACACATTCTTAATTATATTTTATAATATGATGAGGGAAACTTTCCCTTCCCATTTTCGTCAGGAGACTCGAACGCTTGGTCGAGAGCCGCCCTTATGAACCAGCAGGTGTCAGTAGGTAGCGGTAACAGCGGTTCAGCAGGCGGGATGGCCGACGGCAGCCTACAGACCAACCTACAGACCAACTCCCAGACTAACCTACAGAGTCAGATGATGTCCATGCTCTCCAGTAACACTAACGCCGCCTCCATCTTCACCTCCGGCAGTCACGGCTCCTTCCTCCAGTCCGGTGAGTTCTTAGTGTGTCACCTGCGGACACACATCCTCCTGGTATCCCTCGTCTTACACTAAATACTCCCGCAATCAAATGCTAAACTTTTATAGTGTATAAATAAATTGATTACATTATCCGCCAACAAGATATTATTCATTCAGAAAAACAATGGCGTTAAGTATGCTAAATCCGACCTTCTGATAAATTTATCAGTTAAATATATTGATATGTACTACTACCTCTGCTCTGCTAGACTGCCACGTACTTACTACCTCTGCTTTGTTAGACAGCCACGTACTTACTACCTCTGCTTTGTTAGACAGCCACGTACTTACTACCTCTGCTTTGTTAGACAGCCACGTACTTACTACCTCTGCTTTGTTAGACAGCCACGTACTTACTACCTCTGCTTTGTTAGACAGCCACGTACTTACTACCTCTGCTTTGTTAGACAGCCACGTACTTACTACCTCTGCTCTGCTAGACCGCCACGTACTTACTACCTCTGCTTTGTTAGACAGCCACGTACTTACTACCTCTGCTTTGTTAGACAGCCACGTACTTACTACCTCTGCTCTGCTAGACCGCCACGTACTTACTACCTCTGCTTTGTTAGACAGCCACGTACTTACTACCTCTGCTTTGTTAGACAGCCACGTACTTACTACCTCTGCTTTGTTAGACAGCCACGTACTTACTACCTCTGCTCTGCTAGACCGCCACGTACTTACTACCTCTGCTTTGTTAGACAGCCACGTACTTACTACCTCTGCTTTGTTAGACAGCCACGTACTTACTACCTCTGCTTTGTTAGACAGCCACGTACTTACTACCTCTGCTTTGTTAGACCGCCACGTACTTACTACCTCTGCTTTGTTAGACAGCCACGTACTTACTACCTCTGCTTTGTTAGACAGCCACGTACTTACTACCTCTGCTTTGTTAGACAGCCACGTACTTACTACCTCTGCTTTGTTAGACAGCCACGTACTTACTACCTCTGCTCTGCTAGACCGCCATGTACTTACTACCTCTGCTTTGTTAGACAGCCACGTACTTACTACCTCTGCTTTGTTAGACAGCCACGTACTTACTACCTCTGCTTTGTTAGACAGCCACGTACTTACTACCTCTGCTTTGTTAGACAGCCACGTACTTACTACCTCTGCTTTGTTAGACAGCCACGTACTTACTACCTCTGCTTTGTTAGACAGCCACGTACTTACTACCTCTGCTTTGTTAGACAGCCACGTACTTACTACCTCTGCTTTGTTAGACAGCCACGTACTTACTACCTCTGCTTTGTTAGACAGCCACGTACTTACTACCTCTGCTTTGTTAGACAGCCACGTACTTACTACATCTGCTTTGTTAGACAGCCACGTACTTACTACCTCTGCTTTGTTAGACAGCCACGTACTTACTACCTCTGCTTTGTTAGACAGCCACGTACTTACTACCTCTGCTTTGTTAGACAGCCACGTACTTACTACCTCTGCTTTGTTAGACAGCCACGTACTTACTACCTCTGCTTTGTTAGACAGCCACGTACTTACTACCTCTGCTTTGTTAGACAGCCACGTACTTACTACCTCTGCTTTGTTAGACAGCCACGTACTTACTACCTCTGCTTTGTTAGACAGCCACGTACTTACTACCTCTGCTTTGTTAGACAGCCACGTACTTACTACCTCTGCTTTGTTAGACAGCCACGTACTTACTACCTCTGCTTTGTTAGACAGCCACGTACTTACTACCTCTGCTTTGTTAGACAGCCACGTACTTACTACATCTGCTTTGTTAGACAGCCACGTACTTACTACCTCTGCTTTGTTAGACAGCCACGTACTTACTACCTCTGCTCTGCTAGACAGCCACGTACTTACTACCTCTGCTCTGCTAGACAGCCACGTACTTACTACCTCTGCTCTGCTAGACAGCCACGTACTTACTACCTTTGCTTTGTTAGACAGCCACGTACTTACTACCTCTGCTCTGCTAGACAGCCACGTACTTACTACCTCTGCTTTGTTAGACAGCCATGTACTTACTACCTCTGCTCTGCTAGACAGCCACGTACTTACTACCTCTGCTTTGTTAGACAGCCACGTACTTACTACCTCTGCTTTGTTAGACAGCCACGTACTTACTACCTCTGCTCTGCTAGACAGCCACGTACTTACTACCTCTGCTTTGTTAGACAGTCACGTACTTACTACCTCTGCTCTGCTAGACAGCCACGTACTTACTACCTCTGCTCTGCTAGACGGCCACGTTCTTACTGCCTCTGCTTTGTTAGACAGCCACGTACTTACTGCTTCTCCTTTATTAGACAGACACGTACTTACTACCTCTGCTCTGCTAGACGGCCACGTTCTTACTACCTCTGCTCTGCTAGACAGCCACGTACTTACTGCCTCTGCTTTGTTAGACAGCCACGTACTTACTGCTTCTCCTTTATTAGACAGACACGTACTTATTACATCTGCTCTGTTAGACAGCCATGTACTTGCTACCTCTATTCTGTTAGACAGCCATGTAGTTAGTACCTCTGCTATGTTAGAGGGACACATACTTACTGCTTCTGCTCTGCTAGACAACCACGTACTTACCTTTGTTCTGTTAGACAACCACGTACTTATTATCTCTGCTCTGTTAGACAACCACGTACTTACTACCTCTGCTCTGTTAGACAGCCACATACCTCTGCTCTGTTAGACAACCACGAACTTACTACCTCTGCTCTGTTAGACAGCCACATACCTCTGCTCTGTTAGACAACCACGTACTTACTACCTCTGCTCTGTTAGACAACCACGTACTTACTACCTCTGCTCTGTTTGACAACCACGTACTTACTACCTCTGCTCTGTTAGACAACCACGTACTTACTACCTCTGCTCTGTTAGACAACCACGTACTTACTACCTCTGCTCTGTTAGACAGACACGTGCTTACTACCTTTGCTCTATTAGACAGCTAGACACGTACTTACTACATCTGGTCTTGGAATTGCCGTAAGTTTTGCCCTTCCCCAAGGTATTAGTCGTGTTGATGTTGCGAAAGAGTGTTAAACCATACCACGGATAAGGCTTGAACTCGCGGTTAGTGAATCGTGAAACACCAGACCGACAAGTTAGCCACTGGGCCAGCTGGCTGCAATAAGATTCATCCAACTTGGTATATTTATACACCAGGAAGGCTAGCATAGGCACATTTCTATGGTGTATGAATGTTGGATGAATCTTATTGTAGCCAACTGGCCCAGTGGCTAACGCATCGGTCTGGTGTTTTACGACTCACTAACCGCGAGTTCAAGCCCCATCCCTGGTATGGTTTGTTTTCAATCGTGTCATTACGATTTCGTGAGTCGCAAAAGAGGGTTGTTTATGCGGAGAAAACACATGGCTAAAGATGGCATTCGACTCTTGTGACGTAATAATTGAGTATTGAGTTAATTTAGTTTCCAGAGACTATCTGTTTGTTCTACATGGAGGCGTAGAGCGCGGGGGACCTTCTACATGGAGGCGTAGAGCGCGGGGGACCTTCTACATGGAGGCGTAGAGCGCGGGGGACCTTCTACATGGAGGCGTAGAGCGCGGGGGACCTTCTACATGGAGGCGTAGAGCGCGGGGGACCTTCTACATGGAGGCGTAGAGCGCGGGGGACCTTCTACATGGAGGCGTAGAGAGCGGGGGACCTACATGGAGGCGTAGAGCGCGGGGGACCTTCTACATGGAGGCGTAGAGCGCGGGGGACCTTCTACATGGAGGCGTAGACCGCGGGGGACCTTCTACATGGAGGCGTAGAGCGCGGGGGACCTTCTACATGGAGGCGTAGAGCGTGGGGGACCTTCTACATGGAGGCGTAGAGCGCGGGGGACCTTCTACATGGAGGCGTAGAGCGCGGGGGACCTTCTACATGGAGGCGTAGAGCGCGGGGGACCTTCTACATGGAGGCGTAGAGCGCGGGGGACCTTCTACATGGAGGCGTAGAGCGCGGGGGACCTTCTACATGGAGGCGTAGAGCGCGGGGGACCTTCTACATGGAGGCGTAGAGCGCGGGGGACCTTCTACATGGAGGCGTAGAGCGCGGGGGACCTTCTACATGGAGGCGTAGAGCGCGGGGGACCTTCTACATGGAGGCGTAGAGCGCGGGGGACCTTCTACATGGAGGCGTAGAGCGCGGGGGACCTCATAGACACATCCAACAACGTTGGACGGAACATTTTATCAACCTGTTTCACTGTCCCAGTATTCTTAAAGACAATAATTATAACGAACCTTTTCAATATACCTGGTAGGCTAGCTAGATCTTTATTCTAGAATACAACTAACAGATTTTTTTTTTTTTTTGCCCTGGGAAGTACTTCCCTGGGTTTAGTCCTGTAAACAGTTGTCCTGCCCGACATTATTACATCCTCAGCAAATTCCTTGGGGTATCTCAGCTTTGTGGCTGTACTGAATATCTTACCAAGTTTATCATCTATATATCCATCAAAGCAAATACTCAAAACACTTCTGTTATTCATAGTTTCTTGGTTGGAATAATATTAAATGTACGACAACACAGATGATTGTACACAAGTACGGCAACACAGATGATTGTACACAAGTACGACAACACAGATGATTGTACACAAGTACGACAACACAGATGATTGTACACAAGTACGACAACACAGATGATTGTACACAAGTACGACAACACAGATGATTGTACACAAGTACGACAACACAGATGATTGTACACAAGTACGACAACACAGATGATTGTACACAAGTACGACAACACAGATGATTGTACACAAGTACGACAACACAGATGATTGTACACAAGTACGACAACACAGATGATTGTACACAAGTACGACAACACAGATGATTGTACACAAGTACGACAACACAGATGATTGTACACAAGTACGACAAACACAGATGATTGTACACAAGTACGACAACACAGATGATTGTACACAAGTACGACAACACAGATGATTGTACACAAGTACGACA